CTTTGTGTCAATGGGGTGTTGAGGTCCCATGTTACAATGGTGTTATCGATTATATGGGTTTTCATGCCTGTTAAGATTTGTCGTATATAGTTTGGAACACCAATATTTGGTGCATGCATGTTTATAATTATTATCTCATCCTCTTGCAGTTTTCCCCTGACAAGTATGTAGTGACCTTCTTTATCTCTTTTGATTGTTGTTGGTTTGAAGTTTACATCATCTGCAAACATAATAGCTACACCTGCTTTTTTCTGGGTTCCTGTTGCATGGAGGACTGTTTTCCATCCTTTGACTTTCAGTCTATGGATTTCCTTTTGAGTAAAATGTGTTTCCTGTGTACAGCATATCATTGGATTTTGTTTTTCAATCCACTCTGCCAGTCTGTTTCTTTTGACTGGTGAATTGAGGCCATTTACATTTATGGTTATAACTGATATGTATTGATTTATCATTGTCATGTTATTTACTTGCGTTGATTTCCTAGTTTTTCTACCTGTTTACTTGCTTGCTCTTCTTGACGTTTCATATCTACTGTTGTTCTTGAAATTGCAGTCAGATTTTTCTCTGTCAAGAATATCTTTTAGTACTATTTGTAATGCTGGTTTGGCACTCATGAAGTTCTTCATGAAGTTGTTCTTTGTTGTTGAAATATTTAATTTCTCTGTTGAATTTGAGGGATAGTTTGGCATGGTACATCAGTCTTGATTGGAAGCTGTTTTGTCTCAGGACCTGTAATACTTCACTCCAAGCTGTTCTCGATTGGATGGTTTGTGTTGAGAAGTCTGCCATGATTCTGGTGGATTTTCCTGTATAGACAATCTGTTTTTTTTTGTCTATCAGCTTTTAATATTCTGTTCTTTTGCTGGAGATCTGGAAACTTGACTATTATATGTCTGGGTGTAGTTTTATTTTGGTTGTGGTTGGTTGGAGTTCTATATGCCTCATTTACCTGAATATCAGGTTCTGTTTCCATTCTTGGGAAATTTTCTCCTATTATTTCTGCAAATATTCTTTTTATTTCCGTTGTGTTGCCTCCTGCTGTTTCATTGACTCCTATTAGTCTTACATTATCCCTCTTTGCCTCATCTTGAAGCTATTGAATTGATTTTTCCTGGATCCTTGTTGATTTTACAAGATCCTTTCTTTTGCGGTCGCTAGCTGCCATGCTGTCTTCAAAATCTGAAAGTCCATCATCAGCTTCATTCAAGTGGTTTTGGCAGCTTTCAATGGAAGCTTTGTTTTCCTGGAAGTCTCTTTGCATCTGGTTCATGCATTCTAAGTCCTTTCTATATTTTTCATTTAACGTTTCTGTCCATTGCCTATATTCTTCTATTTTCTTATATGTTTCTTCTTCAGACATTCTGAGCAGTTCTTTCATTATTATTGTCATTTCATTTTTTGCCTGAGAGATTATTTCTGATCTGATCTCTTCTATGGCTTCATGGAGTGTTTTTTACTTCCATTGCAATCATTTGAGCAATTTCAGGCATGTGTTTACCACGTTCTCCTATGTCCAAGTCTCCTGGACTTGTTCTGATTGGGGTGGAGTTCTGGGATTGTGTTTTAGTCCTTCATCTTGTCATGTTTGCTACCAGATGTAGAAAGCTCAGTTTCCCTATTCGATGGCTGCACAGCAAAGGCCGCTAGTGTCCCTAGCTTTCCTGTTCATCAGGTTTGACCCTCAGTGTCCTCTGAGATGCACTACTTAGTCTCGGGTTTTTCGGCTGTTGCTGAAGTGTATCTAGTTATCCCAGGTCTCAGATGTGGGCGCTGGTGTCAGCTGATGGCGGACCATCTGATCCAGCATCCCCTTGCAGTTCAGGGCATGTGTACAGCCTGGACTCGGGTTGCACTGGTGGCACAATCCTGGTCCAGTGGACCTATGTCCCCAGGCAGTTCATGGTACAAGCAAAACCCAGACATGAACTGCAGGGTCAACAGTTTGTGGACCAACTGATTCTGTGTCTCCAGTCAGTTCAGGACGTGTACAGGAGCTATATGCAAGCAATGCTGACAGCAATCACAGACTGTCTGTGCCTGTGACCTCCAGGGGCTCAGGGTGCAAGTAAAGCATAGACCCAAACTGTAGTACCAGCAGCTCATGGGGCACCCGCTCACTCTGTGCAGGGCATGTGCAGGGAGGGCCCATACATGAACTCTCAGGAGAGCAGTCCCCAGGCCTTCTGAGTGAGGAACTTCTGTCTGGCGCAGGTGCCTGGAGGGCATAGACTTAGACTGTAATGGCGGTGGGGACCTGGGTCACCCACTCTGCCCCCAGGAAGTAGATGGGAAATGCCTGGGTCTCTCTGCAGCTTTGGTGGGGACTTTGGTGGCAGTGGGTTGCAGCCCACCTGGTTCTGCTTCTCTAGTCAGTTCAGAATGCACATAGGAGCCAGTCCTGGGCCGCTCAAACAGCAATCACAGACTGCCTGTGCCTGTGACCTCCAAGGGGTTGGGGTGCAAGTAAAGCACCTATTTTAGTGTATTTTAATGTATTCAGTCTTATTTTTCTGTGTAATATTATATAGTCAATTCTATATCACATAACATAAAATTCTGTTATAATTTTTCCTACTTTATTTGTACCATAAACATATTTTTCATATTATTTAAAAATGTTTATAAATTTTTTATTGGTGATCTTTCAGATTGTGGAATTCCTACCATCAGATATTTAGGTTAGGTTAGTCTCAATTTTTTTCCTTGTATAATAATATTATGGAGAATATCTTTACCTAGAAAAATGTTTTTGCCCTTTTAAAATTTCCATATAAAAATTATTAGAATGAAAGAAATGGATTTTTAAAATTTATTTTGCTCTTGATTATCAAAGCAAGATGAGCTTATCATTGCCAAGTAAAGTATACTAAAACTGGGAAAGAAAAAAGCATTCCAATCCTCCACCTAGAGGCCACTGTTATTAGCATTTTGACATGATTTCTTCTGATACAGGCAATTATTTTCCTTCTGAGCAAGGATCAAGGACATGAACATTTTTAATGCTTTTGATACAGGTGCCAAAATTGTTTTCAATTTATAAATTGATCCTCTTTCTGGAAGTATATAAGTTGTGACTATTCTGAAAATGCTAACACCTAAAAATAAAGTAAGTATGGTTATTTCAAAACTTCCCATAAACTTCATTTTAGCTTCCTTAAAATCTATGAACAGGAGACAGGGTATGAAAAAGTGTTGAATAAATGTTACTTAGGAAACTCATCTCCAGATTTTGGTTTGGTTGTAGTCCACAGGTTTGAAAGGGTATGTTTGTAATGCAAGTTAACTCACTGGTTCTTTTAGATGAAGACAAGCTATTGATCTTTAATATATGTTTCCTGGGACAGATAGGAGAAAATATTCTTCTAATTAAGGGATTCTGATCTTTGTTAAATCATGATACATATAGAAAATAATGGTATTGTTCTACATTCTGGGGTAATGAATAGGATGAATAGGACTGATATATTTTATTTTTATTTTTTTTTTGGTTTTTCTCCGGTACTGGGAACCGAACTCACAACCTTGCGCTTGCCAGTTAGGCGCTTTTGCCACTGAGCTAAATCCCCAGCCCCAGGACTGATATATTTTAAAGAAAATAGTACAAAAAAAGAACAATAGCAAAATAC